TTATTTGTTTACTTTATTAAATATTTCTTTCAATGTAAGTTGTTTCAGTTGCTTCGTTTTTCATGTGATAATACATTCTCTTTAATTCTATAAACAGACATAATTTCTTGTTCAGTTACAAAGTTCCGCTGTTCAAGTCCTATAATTGCTGTGTCGAGAATACCGACCAATTTGTCAATCGAAATTTTTTCGTTTTCAATAACCTATGTCACTTTCTTCGCTATCGGAAGCGAATTATAATGAGGAGGCATTTGATTTAAATCATATCAAAGACGGAGTACATCGAAATGAAATACTACATTGAGTAAGCAATTATAAGCCAAACAAAATAAAAACATCTGCCCTTAAGATAAGGATAGTGCTGACAAATCAACTTCCAATTCATTGCACGCTGCCGCCGGCGTTAAAGATAAACAAGCGTTAAAGTTTAGATAAACAAAGAATATGCCTTTATCCATTTTTTGCAGCAATTCCATTTTTTGTTTAATGGACTCCGAAAGATACTTTCGCTATGTATATCCTTTACATATTAGTAAATATATATCGGAAATTCTATTTGACATAATCAAAAGTTCAAGCTTACTTTTATAAAATTGCTCTAACAGTCTGCAAAAAATAATAATCCGGATCCAATTCGAAGATTAAGGAACAACGCAATTTGCAACATTAACTGAAATAGGTAATTAGATTATTTTAGCTTAGCTTATCCCGTCTGTTATACATTAAACACGCATTCGTAAACGTATTTTGTGCACGCGCACACGCAAAATTCGCAGCGGTAAAGGTCTTACGCGCATGCGTCAATGCGACGCATGCGCAGAAAGATTGTAGCTTTGAGGTCCGGATTATAGATCATTCCAGATTATGGGTGTCCGAATTAACGACTTTTGACTGTACAACATCCTGATTCACGTGACCACAAGTGATCTCATCTCACGTAAACTACACTAAAAAAATCTAATTCTCTCAGTAATTATCTACATTAATTTCAAGTTAAATCTTAATTTGGAATACAAGTTTAAATGCAAGAATTATTTCAGTTCATATGAATAGCTTATTCAGAAATTATGTAAAACTGGAGTGCTTTATTTCGCTAGTGCATTCTCATTAGATTGACCTTAGGGCATAAAACTGGACTATCTGTAAAAATTCTATGTAATTATATGCCAGTATAAGAAATGGCTGCGACTTGTTTTGAAAATGAGGCGTAAAAGGCTACTAGCGAGGATATTCCGTTTGGCATCAGTTGTACCATTATTGGCGACTTTATCGCCTGCACCGGCAAAACGGAAAAGTACCAAAATTTTTTTTTCTTTTAGTAAATAAAATTTCAAAAAAATAATTTAATTGAATAAATCTAAATTGAATTAGAATGGAAAAGAAAATTACAAATTGAAATAGAGAATTATTGTAAGAAATTTTTTGTACTAGACTGCATTATTTAAAACTGAAATTAGAAGTTCAATGAAAACTTAACTAAATACTGGCCAAAGGTAAGGAAATTAGAAAATTAGATAAAAATCTTCACTTAATTCAGGCTATAATTGAGACTTTTGAAAAGAGTTGGCCCTTCATTAGTAAAAGGAACGAATCTAGTATTTATAAAATATACATTTTTACAAAATATTTACAAGTAATCCCTTAACTCTTCAAAATCCTCCATTACCCTCCAGTTAAGGTTTAAGGTAATATTATCACACCATAAAGAATTAAAAAATTAAAAAGAAAAGTTAATGCCTGCCTTTTTAATATGGAATTTAATAAAATTTTTGGGACCTGGTTATTAACTTGAACATTAATTAGTTTTATTATTTCTTCCTTTAAATCTTCTATTTCAGTACATATATTTTTAATTCTAATTATTTTGCTATAAAAAGTGTTACCTATTACCTTTTAGAGATATTAGAGTTCCAATTAATTAGTTTAATAGTTTCAAATTGGAATGTCCTCGTTTTATCATACAATTTAATTTTGTTGTGTTTAATTATGAGCAGGTTTAGGTATTCAATATTATCTTGATTCATATTAGTTCTATTAAGTGTTAAACTATCTGAGTAAATTTTAAATTGTTCAAAAGCAGAATAATTATTGAAAGTTATAATATGATCAATGTATCTGAATGTATTTGCTAATAACATTTTTATTCAAACTAAGTTGAAATTTATATTCATTAGCAAAAAGAAATAGGTTGTATACTTGTGTAAAACTGTTCGCTCCCATTGGAATTCCTTTTACCTGCTGAAAGATCTTATTATTAAGTTTAATGTAATTATTAAATAATGCATATTGCAGGTAAGTTTTCCATTTTTCAATTCAGAGGATGTTTAGCATTTCAAGAAAAAGTTGTGGAATTTGCATTAAACTAGTATAAATTTCATCCAAAGGTAGAGAAGTATAAAGGCTTTCAAAGTCATAGCAGTTTATGTTCTTGAGTTCTAAACTTTTAAATTTATTGAGAACTGGAGCATTATTATAAATAATCCAACAATAGTTGTGCTGCTTGTTAACTAGTTGATGAATTAAAATACAGATTTTTTTAAGTTTAATTGCAAATATGTAATCTATATTATTTTTATAATTATTTGTACCATTTGCCATAAATCTAAATTTAAGTGGTGATTTATTGCATTTTGGAAGAGCATAAAGATTTGCTAATCTATTGTAGTTAGATGGTTGTGTCATTATATAGTAGTTTCTTATGAATTGCTTTAAGCTTTTTTGCTATGACATTTTCTTGCATATTGGTAAGTTTGTAAGTAATGGCATTATTCAGTTCAGTATCAACTAGTGAGATATAAAAAAGTTTTCAAATAATACAGATTTACTGAAATTATTACTGGCTTTGTCAATTTTGGTGATTACGAATTTTTGCTTCAAATCTTGTATTAGAGGATTGAGAAAATTCCATGGTAAATAGCTGTTAAATTCTATCCTTTGAACTCTTTGCTTCATTTCTTCTAACACTTCATGTTTCCAAGCCATAAAGGCAGAATTTGGAATATTTAATTTGTAACTAGTTTTAACTATGAACTCGTAAAGATTTTTTACAAAACTTCTAAAACATTGATTTTTGCCAATTTTCAGTACAGGTCAAAATTTTGTGCCTTTTTTCATTAAATTTCTTAAAAGCTGGTTTTTTAATTATTGTTAAATTGCCAGTAACAATATGTTTATGGAAATCGTCTACATAGTCTTTATATGAAGTTCTTTGCAGTACCAATGGGCTGTAGAAGCTAGATCATGGTGGTTAATTAGCAATTTGCTAAGAGACTTTTGATACTTGAAAGGTGATGAGATTTGTAATTTAGAAGCTAGATCATGGTGGTTAATTAGCAATTTGCTAGGAGACTTTTGATACTTGAAAGGTGGTGAGATTTGTACTTTAGAAGCTAGAAATTGTTGTTGACATTTTCTGAAAATTTTGTAGAACTGAATATTGTCATAATTCAGATGTAGAAAGTTGATTTTTCAGTAATATTTATTGTACTTGTTATTGGTAGAGAATGTAAAATTGCAAAAAGCTGTAACAAGGTCTTTGATAATATTGTGCCCAGTAAAATGCTGTTTAATAAATTTTATAAGTATCATTAAGAATGTGTGCTTACAAGTATGCAACAAAGTAATGATATTTTTGGTGAAATTTTCAGTAAGAAAGTAATTATTAATATTATCATTTAACTTTACTGTATCTATTATTGAAAAATTTTTATTTTACTGTCTATTACCTGCACTGGTTCCTCGTAATGTTTTTTTACTGAATAATTTAAAATGGCTGTAAGTTGGAATTTCAGAATTTAATTTAATGTATTGATTGAATGTATTTAGTCCATATGGGTAAAGTGTTTTGAATTTAAACATGTAGAGTGACTCTTGAAATAATCTATCTATGTGTTCAGGCATAATGTCCGAAATTGGAATACTTATTTTGCTGAAATCATGTAAAATGTTCTAATTCTTCTGTATTAGGTGTGTTAAAATTGGTTGTAGCAAATTTTTTAATATGTGCTCTGTGGTTGTTAATTATAATATTAAGACTATTTTTGGTTTGTCCTACATATTTAAGGTTGCAAGTGTTACATGAGATAAGGTATATGCAATTAAATGTTTTTCAAAAGGGGAGTTGTTTTGTGGCTGTGATAGGCATAGTGCTAACTTTACAAGTAAGTCATTTGCTAGAATGACATTTATGGAAATTTATGTGATTGAGACGAGCCATTATAAAAGTAAAGAGGGAGCTAACCTACAATATAGTGAATTTTTAAAGTAAAAATTCTTAATTTTTTGGACAGAAAAAAAAAAAAAAAAAAAAAAAAGGAATTTTAATGGTATTGTTAATTTAATTCTGTAACATTTTAAATAAAGTTAAAAAATTAGTTAAGCATAAAAATAATTAAAAGGAAACTTAAGTATTTGAACTAAGTTACATTTGAAAAAATGAAAAAAGTGAAATCAAACAAGGCAATTAGCGTTAAAAGCTGCTAAGTTTTACAAAATTGTTTCACAAAGTCAATAGTAAAGTAATTCAGTTCAATAGTAAAGTTAAATTAAATTCATATAATTCATAACATTTGATTTTACTTTTGGTTTTGAATTTTGCTTTTACACCTTGCCTATATGGATGACAAAACACAAATTGACACACAGGGTGAAAGTGCCCAAGAAAGAAATTGTTGCTTTACTTAAATAGGTTATTTTTAGTGCTGTAGTATTCTACTTGTTATGGGAGAAGGAAAACCATTCCAAGAGAAGTTTGTATACACAGGCATTTTCGATGTTTGAGGAAAAGAGATTTGGTCCTCTCTCGATGCAAAAGAGTTAATGCATCTGGCTAAAAATTAATATTTGAATGTAATTTGTCAGATAATTGCTTTATCATGAATAAATTAATGGAATGTTTATTACTTGGAAATCCTATAAGTGATTGATTTAGTTTGCATATTCATACTTTTTAATTACTTGTTAATAATACTTGTTCATACTAAATTAATTTTATTTTGCAGTGATTTGAATCCTGTTTTATCTCCTAAATGGTCAATGCGTATGAGAACTTCTGAAAAACCTAGTTGTTCTATGAGTATGCAGTTTTTATTTTAAACTATATTTTTAATTTATAAATATTTTTTAACTGAAAACATTGCTCTTAAAATTTGCATTTTGCTTAGGGTGTAAGGTATTTCCAATAATAAAGTTGGGACCTCCATTAATGGTCATTGGATAAATCATGCATAAATCCAACAGTTTTCAAAGTATAAATTTTTAAATGTTCCTCATGCACATCCCAGTGCAAATTATTACACCTGACTCTCACTATCTGCAACAGAGTAGAGGAAGTTACTCCCTCAAGCTCTAAAATGCTTTATGTTCTTGTAGATTTATGTTTAAAGCAAGTATGTTTAGCAGATGTTCAAGATACCATTTAAATCTGTGTTTCTTATTGCAAAAAAAAAGGGAGATTACCCCCTTTTTCATTCTTTTTTTTTTAAAGAGGAATTTTCTTCCTTTTCGTATATTGCTAAGTTTGGCAACTTACAACATTTTGGTGATTTTAAGATCAATTCATGTATAAAAATTTTGATTTCATGATTCTTGAATTTCTCCCCCCCCCTTTTTTTTAAAGCAAATAACATTATTGATATTATTAAACTAATCTAGCATATGAAAATAATGTAATTTTTTTTTCTTTATTTTTTTTACTACTTTGTACAAAAAATTCGGACTATCATGTTTCAACAGAAATATACATTCTGTTTGTTCCCGAATCAATTCAGACAATTATTTTTTACATGATATTTGTGCGTACATACAGAATAAAGGACTTTTCGCCTCAAAATATATTGTAAAATGGAGTTTTTTGTGACATCTTTACATACATGTATCGGTACGTACTTATGTATAGTTAAACTAAGATTATGATATCGTTAAATTAATAGCAGCATAATGGGTTTATGGATAAAAGTTGTAAACAACATGTTCATAACTTTTGTATATGCTTATGCATATATCTCACATAACCCCAAAAAGATTTATTGTAGAACTTTGACATTTTGTATATGGGATTGCTATAACATCTAGTTGTGCACCTCTCTTTTTTATTGCAGTTTGCAATACCAAACATATATATATACCCACCCTCTTACCCAGCTTTTATTTTTGCAGTCATTAGTTGTAATTATATATTTCCAATTACAGTAGTGTTTTAAGTGATAAAAATATTCATGTTTTGGCAATGTCACATAAAAAAAAAATCTTCCACAAATTACGAAATCTAAATTTTAATGCGATCTTCCAGTTCCAGTCTTGCCTTGAGGCATTGGTTAATTAAATTAGAATAAGTTTAAATGAAGTACAGCAAAGAATGTGTAAAATTTAATAGGCCATACAATGAAGTCATATGATGTCTACATCAGATTATTTTTAAGGAAAATATCACTACAATAAAATATTTTTATTTCCATCTGTCATATTAAAAAATACCTTTAATTTTAGCAGTTTTCAAATATCTTAATTCTAGAATTTAAATAAGGTAATGGATGTCAGGAAGCAGAATTTTTTAATATCTTTTTAGTAAAGATTGTTTATGAATTTGTTTATAATATAAAGATTTATATAAAGATTTGTTTATGAACACTTTCTGTGCTTTCTAAGTGGAATATTTCTCAGTTCCGTTGGTCTGTTTTATTGATGCCATATCGAAATGTCAAAATCATTTATTTAGACGAGAAATCTAAAGAACGGCTACAATCTCCCTCCCCCCCCTCCTCTTTTTCCAGTTACTATCCGGAATTTGCAATTTGTATGCAAAGTTAAGTTTACTGTTAAAGAGACGCATGAAGCAATTTCCCGTCTTCTGATTCGAAATGTGCCTCTTTTTACTTAAATTACTTTGCTTGTAATATATGTTAGGGAAACTGTTATGCAAAATTAGAAATTGTTCAGAATTTTGATTTAAGTTAAATTATTTAAATATTATATGAGTGTAAAAATAATTGTATTTTTATTGCGTGTCAAACGAATACAATTGGTATGGCTTATTTATTTTTTCTATATTTTGAACTGAATTTATCATTAAATCTTTTAATATAGTTTAGTTCTGCATAGTTTTTTTTTTTTTTTTTTTTTTTTTCCCTCATTGTAAACTAATTCTGTAAATTGAACTGTTATTTAAAATTTAGAAAAAAAAAAAAAAAAAAAGTTTAATTGTTTTCCATGGTTGAGGTAATGCTCATTTTTTTAATAAATATTGCATTGCTTATATTTTAAATTACAAGTCTAATTTTTCTTTTAAGGTTATGCAGTTGTGTATAATATAATTAGACAGGTGCTTATTTTTTCCTTAAAATGTGCTTGAAAAGTGCTTATAGGTGCTTATTTTTTTAACTAAAATGTGGCTATGAACCCTGTTTAAAAAGCAAGAAACTGTTTAAAATTGTACACATGCTGTTTGTGTCATTAAGCGTTGCATTTTAAAAAGATTAATAATTTTATTTCTAGCTGATTATTTGAAGGAATTTGTTATGCTGTGTCAGGGTTATGATGCAGATAATCAGTTATTGGGCAATGTTCCACCAGAGGAGGATGAAAATGGTGAGTGCCAATTAAAAGTTTGAAATATATTTATTTAGAAAAAGAAATTTTTAAAGTAGAATATGTTTTAGCATTTTTTAAATACCCATAAAATAGTTATGAGCATGATAGTTTAATGATGTTAATTGTGATAAGCTCATAGTATGAAACTTTTGCCATTTTTGGAAAAAAAAGGAAATATAGAGGCAATTTTGAATTTCTTGCAAATATTCCTGCATTTATTTTTCATTTGCAATGTTTCAAACATGTAAGTAGTATAATAATTGTTTATTAGTAATAAATGTGAAAATTCATTGTGTGTTACTGCTTTAAATTAATAGTTTAATTTAAATAGTTTTGAAGTCAGCAATTAAAGCATCAATTTTGAAACTATTGTTGATGTTAAATTCTATGCACTTTTTTGTGTGTTTTAAATCTGACCTATTAAGTGTGGCTTAGTGCATGACCATCAGTTATCTCTATCAGTATTTAATCCTCTTGCACGACAACATGCCACTTTGTGGAATTCATCTTGAAGACAGTATGCTGTTGCAATAGTATGATCTTACAGGATGGAGTATTTTGAGTTGCTAAGCCTAACTTTAAAAACAAAAATGTTTTTCAATCAATTGCTTTTATTTTTTCTGTAATGGTATCTAACAATAATATAACCATACATATAAAATATCAAGACTTTCTGAAAAAAATTTAATTAAAGTCTAAATGCAGAATAAAATATTTGACTCATCTTGAGTAAATGTTGTACAAAATTTATCTAAATCTATGCCTATGTGAAATATATGATTAAATGTTATAGCATAAATTATTCAGAAAGGAGACAGTGTATGGTAGTCTAGTCACTAGCATTTCATTAGTTCTGAAATACGTTTTGAGGTCAGGCCTTTTAAATTATTCTCAGAAGAATAATTAATCCTAGGAATTCCCTCTTTTTTGGCATTTCTGCAGGAGTAAACTTTGTTGATTTTGGATGCAGATAGATTTTCACTCATCTTTTATTCATATAAATTATTAATTTCTGCAATTACTATGTTCATTAAGTCATCATCCAAAAATATTGAAAAAATTAATTTTGTTCACATAACTTCTAATTAAATTTACTCTTATATTTCCCATAAATTCATAAGGCCTCAATTATGTAACAGATTGAGTTTGTATTGGAGTATCCACTTTTGTGCTGGATCGTGAGGTGGAAGCAAAATAAGCTTCCGATTCGATCTCTGACAAAATTTTAGTATCCAAATTGCTACCCTTACTTAAATCTAGGGAGTCTTTGATGCCAAAATAGTCACACATGGGCTCATTTACCATGAATGTGCACTTCTACCATTAAAAACTTCTTTCTGTTAGACAATGCAACATTAGTTTAATTCTTTAACTGGGGCAAAAAACTTACCTCTAGTATCTCAAAAAAAGGCAAACTGAATACAAGCAGGTATTCCTAAAACCACAGCTCTACTTCCCTTAGGAAAACAACAAAGAATGTGTTTAAAGCATTGGAAACTATGCAGTGTTTATATTTTGTAAAACCTCAACTGTGCATTAGCTGGGTTTTGTTTACTTTATATCTCTCTTTGATAAATCAAAAAAAGAATCACCAGAATCAAAAAGTACTTTATGGACACAAGGTCAACAATGTATAGGTTCAAATAAGCTAAGGGTAGCAGACACAAAGTGCCATCTAGTTATTTAAAAAGATTCTAAAAGAATGTTTATGTTTTGATAGTACATATATGATACACCTATCTCGTAGATCAATGCAAGCGGTGATGCACCTATGCATCACCAGGCTTCTTGAATTTCTAGATCTTCAATTTTATATCTCCATTCAAAATGGAGTATAAGCTGTTCCCTTTGTTTTTATTGTTTATAAAATATCACCCAATCAATTATATGAGCAAATTTATCTTTTGATACAGAAGTACTCTAAAACTTAATAGCCAGACATTACAATATCCAAAATAGCATTTCTGAAATCATTCATTCGTTGATAAGAGCCACTAAGGAAAAAAAAAAAAAAGTTAGTAGTTTTACCATAAAACATTCGTTATCAAAATATAAAGCAAATATAATGGAGCTGCTGGTAGTGTACCTCAGAAGAAGTGCTTTTGATGTATTTTATAAAGATCTAACAACTGTCTGTCAACTATGAAGTGTTTTTCATATTGTAACTTTGCATGGCAAAAACGTCCGTAGTAGTTCAGTGGGATACTTGTGTGTTAAATCGTGAATTATTTTACTTAAAAAATTAGTCTAATTATAAGAAAATCATTAAATTATTTTTTACATATTTCATTATTTGAACTGAAAACATGACTTTATGGTAGAGGTATTCACGTATTCATATTAATATGCACTTATACATATTCTAGCTGTAATGTTTAAATTCTGTAGTCTCATCTCCTTTGGTAATCATTCCAATATATTTTTTTTCCCAGCCATATGTTAAACTGATTAGAAATGGAGCAATTCGCTGAATACAGTCAAAAGTCGTTAATTCGGACACCCATAATCCAGAATGATCTATAATCCGGACCTCAAAGCTAAAAACTTTCTGCGCATGCGCCGTGTTGGCACATGCGCACAGGCGTTTTACGCGTGCGTGTAAGACCTTGACTGCGCATATGCGTGTGCGCAAGTGCAGAATACGTTTTCGCCTGCGCGTTTAATGTATAACGGACGGTGTAAGCTAAAATTATCTAATTATCTATTTCAGTTAATGTTAATGATTGCGTTGTTCCTTAATCTTCAAATTGGATCCCGCTTATTATTTTTTGCAGACTGTAAGAGCAATTTTATAAAAGTAAACTTGAACTTTCGATTATGTCAAATAGAATTTCCGATGCTATTTCCAAAGGATCTACAAAACGAAAGTATGTTTCGATGTCCAAAAACAAAAAGTGGAATTGCTGCAAAAAATGGATAAAGACATGAGATGTGACAGAGAGGTTAGTGAAAACGAAAAAATTTCGATTGACAAGTTAGTAGGTATTCTCGGCACAGCAATTAACGGGACTTGAACAGCGGAACTTTGTAACTGAACAAGAAATTGTATCTGTTTATAGAATTAAAGAGAAAGTATTATCACATAAAACGAAGCAACTTAAACAACTTACATTGAAAGGAATGTTTAATAAAGTAAACAAATAAATATTAAGTTTTTTTTTTTTTTGTAAATTTTGATACCCTTTAGATCATAATTGTTTTTTATTTCATAAATTACGGTTTCATATTTTTAATTTTAGAATTTCTGCATGCCATCTTACGAGATTTAAACTGATGATCTATAATCCGGAATCGCTGAAGTCCCGACGAGTCCAGATTAACGACTTTTGACTGTAGTATTTTTCAGTGCCAGGCAGCAAACCTTGATACTGTGCCTGTTTTTGTAAAAGCTATTAATCATCATATTTGAATATAAGTTGTATTATTTAATTTCATGTACGTGATTGTTTTCTATTTGAATGCTTTAGAAAATCAACATATTACTCAAGCATTAGATAAACTTGCACAACCAGCACCTCTTCCCAGCCTTTCTTCAATTTTACCGCATCCAAGAGCAAGACAACATTCAGATTATGAGGAACAGCTGATGATAAGTGAGGAAGTATTGATTAAAATTCTGCAGTTTATTTTCCCTGATTCTGCTCCTACTCCTGTTGAACCAGTAAGTATTATTTATATTTCTACTTTTGATATGAATTATAAAAGCAAGTTTTGGGTTGAAAAAAGTCTTCATTGAATTCAAATCAGCATTCAAAATATTAATTTTAATTCAGTGTTATTAAATTAAAATATTTACTATTTTAATTTAGTAGCATTAAAATTTATAAATTATGTAAATAAATGAAAAAAGTTGCATGGGTTGTGTAAGCTCGATATGAATTTCTGTAATCAGAAGTGCTACCATTGTAGTGTCATTAGGTATTTTTTTGGGGGGGGGAAGCCAAAGAGATGAAAAATATGCAACCGCCTTCGCTGGGAATCGAACCACGGACCTCTGGAATACAGGCCCAGCGTGCTACCGTTACAGCACGAAGGCACGCTAGGGAAGTGAGAGAAATACCTTATACCATTATCCTCTGGTTTTGGTTGTCAGTATCTTTTGATTTAATTATTTAATTTAATTTTAATAATTTATTTGATTTACTGCACTGTCCCACACTAATGACCTTAGAGGTTGATTTCCAGTTGCTGTAAGTATTTTAAAAATGTGTCTAAGTATAGTGTATTACTCCATATTGGTTGTTTAGGTCTGGAGTTATTGCTTTATGATGTGAATTAGTACTATCAGCCTATAAGTCATCGAATAGTGACTGTTCAACCTCCAAATCATTGGTGACTAAATGTATTCCAGGTTGCTATTGTGTTTCTGTATAATTTTAATTAAACTCTGTCTAAATTTATTACACTGCCCCACATCAGTCACCCACTGGTTAATTACAATTGACCCTCAACTAAATAAGTAATAATAGGTAGGCAATAATAGATAAGCAATAATAAAATAGATGAGCATTGGTTACCAATTAGCCTTAACAAATATTAATGTGCTTTAGTTTAATCTTAATTTAAATACATATCTTAATTTACTGCACAGCTTCTTGCTGGTATCCTGTGGGTTTACCAAGTGGCTCCATTTTGTGGGTCACCAGTGACCAACTTTAAAGGCATTGGTGTATTCCAGTTTAATTTAAATTTAAAAAATTCACTGCTGTTCAAAATTGAGAGTTTTTACATTTGGTCGATTATCTCCAGAATTGATGGATAAATTTAATGAAAGATTGGATTGAATAGCCATATCTCCAGACATAAACTCTATAGAAGATGTTTGCAATGCTCTCAGGACAGTAAATGTAATTCTTCCTTTCACTTCTCAAAATTTTCTGGGTCTTTAAAACAGCATTTCTGTGGGAATGGGACTGACAGTCACATGGACTTAATAAACTGCCTCGTTTATAATATGAAGTCATGTTGTGGAAACTGTATAACTGTTAGAGGGGACTATATCGCCTATTACCTTCCTTTTTTATACAATCTTGCAACCTCTCTTTTGGGTTAAGTTATCTGAATGCTACAAAGCCACAAGGGTGATCTGCCTTAGAGGAGGGATGTGTTTGCGAAGGACTTTCTGAGAGTAACTGGTTTGTGTTCATGTTTACAAATGGAGAAAACCATGAAACAAACCATGTAGCCAACTGTTTTCCTGTGTTTGAACCCTAAGATGGTCTAACTATCAGTATTCAGTAGTGTTAACCACTCAGCTATTAGTCAGGTATCTCTGTTTTAGACTGTTCTGCAGTAACAAGCCTTACACATGATGACACATGTGTGCCATGATTGTTGAATGCTATATTTTTTGTATTATATAGTACAAAGCCCAAAATCTGGATGCCAAATATATCTGGACCTTCAGACCACATGCACTTTTTTTTAGACACTCTAGGAAATAAGAATATAATAGTAGAAAAAAGAAGGTTTGCAATAAAAGTGACTTTTCTTCCTACTAGCTGAAATTTCTGAGTGTAACTTTAATGACAATATACTGATTGATGGATACTTATATTAAAAATGGCATTCGGCTACTAATTCTTAACAGTTTTTTTCAGCCGTCTCCATTGATCTCAGGAATATGCCTGATGGGCTGAATATTTCTTAGGTAATCTCCTAAGAAAATCTGAAAAAGAAAAAGGGGGGGGGACTCTTTCACCTCTGAGAATGTCATATTGTGAATGGTAATATGGTTAGCACGGGAGTGTGTTTGGCTGGACAATGAGGTGGGCATCCAGATTATGAGGGCATGACTTCTGAAGAGTGTGCTGGGCATATGATTTTGAGATGCAACCAGGAGCCTTGAATTATTGTTGATTAAGCAGATCACAAAACTGAGGAAAATATGTGAGGCAATAAGAATTGGTGCTTGAATTATTGTTGATTAAGCAGAGCACAAAACTGAGGAAAATATATGAGGCAATAAGAATTGGTCCAATTTTGTGAGTAAATTCCAATATTAAAGTTATTACCGATTTACTTTAAATACATTGAAAACCATCAGATGGTACTAGAATTTCGCTTTTGTTTCCTAAGAAATTACAACATTGATTGACTACATTTCTGGCTCTTGAGTGGTTGTGGAAGAAATGGGAAACATCTTTCTGTCTGACCTAAATAATAAATGAAGCTCCAAAACATGTTTGTTTGGCATGGTATTGAGAATTATGCAAAGAATTAGATTCTAAAAGAACTTTGGTTTATTTAACGTAACAAATTGTTCTCTTCCTTAACTTTCTAATTCAATCCATCTTATTATTTTTGGAAGGTTGTTATTATTATTACAGCTGTCTTATCAAAATTAAAGTTTTAATTTTTGTTTATGTTTAAAACAAATTGCTAATTCTGGAATTGTAGCAGTATAACCCTTTCAGACCTAATTCCAATGAAGCCATTTGGAATCATGATATTTATGATTTTTTCCTCCCCTCCTACAACTACCACCAATTTTAAATGAATGCTGTTATAATGCATATTCATTTCCCCATTGAAATATATGTTTTTTCTTTCAGTAAATATCTGTACCTATCCCTGTTGCGAATTGATATGATGCTTTTTTTAATTTTACTTTAATCCACTAAATATGTCAAAATCAATTTCATGTTAAGGCTTGCTTAAGAGAATTAAAAGTATCAAACACTTTTTAATATCATTTTTTAAATGTTTATGAGTAATATTTTAAATATTCCTAACAAATATTTTTTTTCAAAATTTTGGTATTTTTATTTATTGAAGAATTATGATTCCAAATGTCATTCATTAGTGGGAGTTGAATACAACTCAAGCTTTTGGTTTCTGTGTTGTTTACTTTTGATTTGTACTATTTTAACTAGTGGCTTTTTGCAGTATTTTGCTACTTTTGAGTGGTATTTATGACTAAATGTAGGATTTGGTTATTAATCTAGAGGGAGGAATATCTTCACAAGAACTAAAATTCTTCATGAAGAGCTTATAAACTAAGAACTGGCTTATATTCATGTTATGAAAAGGGCATTGGCTCATATTAGTGTTATGAAAAGGGTATTGGCTCAGCTTAATGTCATGTATGCATGAATACTACATTACATACCTTACATCTTTACATATATGAGTAATAAAAGAAAAGAGTCTGTGTGTGTCTTTTGTTCATGCTGCGCGTAAGCTGATAGACCCAGGACTATGAAATTTGATACATAAGTGCATCTAGACAAAAACCAGTGCACCTCAAAGCGATTTTTTTCAAAATTTGAATAAGATATTTTTATTTTATTATTTTTTTTGATGAAATTGCACCATTTTGAATAGTTTCATTCTTTTAGAACTGGGGTATTGGCAACATTTTTTCATTCAATACTTTGTATACTGTACTGCTGACTGTTGAAAATGTGAGATAAAATATTTTTAATTATACATGTAACACGCACATCGCAGTCTTCTTATTCTGATGCACATGTGTCTCTCTCTTATTAACTGGTTACAGCCAAAAACATCGCGGACGAAAACAACGCAAGGCGAAAACGTCATGCTACAAAACATCGCAAAGAGAAAACATCGCAGTTCTAAAGCTCGTGTACCAACAGCGTCGTCGAAAATCGGTTCAAACTTTCGCAGTTTTGAAAACATCACTGTCGAATATATTGTTACAATAAGTATTTCCATCAAATCACATGACGGTACATCGCAGACATGTTTTTTTTCAGGTTTTCATATGTAATGGGATTCCCCACAATGATTTGTGGAGCAAGAGTAAAAAGGATATTTACTTTCACTTTTTTTATTAACTAATAATTTTTGCTGAAAAGTAAGAAGAAAAACTTAAGCAGCGAAATAAATCAAACTATAGATTATATTTCATGAAAAATTACCTAAAAAACTTAAAAAAAAGATTATGAATGGCCTTTGTTAACATGCGGTTTAAAATTATTAAGTGCTGTAAGTTGCAATTAAATTGACTTTACGTTTACTTTCTCCAGCAAAATTATTAGTTAATAAAAATATGAAGAAAAGACCTTTTACATCTTGTCTCACAAATCATTATTGGGGATCCCTTACCTTAGAAACCTAAAAACCTGTATGAGGTGTTACGTCATGCGATGATTTGTAATACTTTTACCACGATATTTTCGAAGGACGTGTTTTAAACTGCGAAGTTTTTAACCGTTTTATTTTCGGCGACGTTGTATTTTAAAACGGCATTTTTCTCTTTGGGATGTTTCTCCCAGATGTTTTGTAGCAAGTTTTTCGCCTGCGTTGTTTCTCGCGATGTATCAGGGGACACTATTAAGTATGGCAAAGCTTTGTATATTTGATTGTCTACACAAGCACAAATTTATGGTTTGCTTTTATGAGTAGTTTATTTTTGGAAATGTGGTTTTGTCAACTTTTCATTCATATTCTTGGGATACTAGCTGTAATTTATAATTATATAAAAATTTTTGGAAGTTTTTTTTTAGGAACCAAATCTTAACTTCCTTATACCATTTGATTCTTAAGATTTTAAATGGGAGTTGGTTAATTCATTTATTAGGATTAATTAATAGCCGTGTTAAAGGATATTGCTTATTTTGTACTAATTGTTTTTATGTACTATAATACATTTTTATTGAAATTGTTTTTCTTCCCCCCTCTTTTTCTTTTGTTTTTGTTTTTTGAAAAAGTTGTTCTGCAGAATAAAATTCTGTGCAGTTTTAAAATTTAATGTTTGGTGTTCCCTTTAGGCATTTTTCTGGTGTAGCGGCTAGTTACTCATAAAGTAAACTGCATAAGGCTTTCTTTGGGATTTAACCCCAGGGAGAACTATTAATCAACCAATCTTATCTATTTTGTCTCCTGTGAGGTGGAGAATCACAAGATATTGGACTATTGTATGAAATTGAATTGAAATGAGAATTGTTTTACACTGAGAAGGGTGTTCAAAGAAATTACTAAGATATTTTGATAGCTTTATTTTTTAGCTATGCATTCCTTATTCAATGGAAACTTTTGATTGTAAAATACATATGTAAATTAAATTATAACCTTAGTTGTATAAATAAGGAAGAATTCCACACTGAGACAGAAATGCTTTGGTATTTTATTCCTGTTACTGCTTGGAAAGATTAAATATAGAGGTGAAAGAATGGTTGCTTTGAATTTTTGCAGTTTACCCTAAAATACGGTTTCCAGAGCAAATTTGAAATGTATTATAATAATATTACTGTAAATTGTTCTCACAAATATTGCAAGTATTACTTGTTGTAAGAACTTTTCTGAATGCAAATTGGTTAAGAAGCACCTAAGACTTAAAAATGAGTTCATTGCATTTAAGAAAACTTATTGTTTAGTTAATTAATTTTATGAATGAATCTTAAGCCATTAATCATTTGTTTTGCTATGGCTTCTGTTGAAGTACAAGAGTAATATAAACAAAAATGATGTTCTTTCTGTTTTGTAGTATGTTGCTGTTGTTTTGAATGCTAATTTAATTTTCACAACTAAATTTACTTATTCTTCAGAATCAACTGCTTCAAAATACAATTAAATTCTTAATAGTATTTTTCTTTTAATTGTAATGTGGGATATTCCTCTCTTCTGTGCTATTTTAACTGCTGTGAGGTTATGATTTTGAGTTAACCACGGAATCCCTAGTATTATCAAAATTAATTGAAAGTTTATAATATGTTTGCTATTTATATATCACTAAATTTCATGTTTCTGTGTACTTTAGGAGTGTGATGACTGGAGAGATACTGTGAATTCAATGAATGATTTGCAAGATAATACTCCTCTAGCAAAAATACAGGTATTGGGTTAAGTATGGTAGACAAGTATATTACTACATAAATTTATGTGAATTACTTTTGATAACTTTTATGCATGTAACTATAAGTTTATATAGTTACATGCATGTAACTATAAGTTTATATAGTTTTATTTATATTTGTCTCTTAATTTTTTTGTTACTTATGTATAATTCCATAATATTAGTCTTAGAAAAATAACTGTCTTTAGTTTCAATTTAGAAACATTTTCTTATATGTAAATGCAATTAAAGTCTAAATTTTAATTTGAGATAAACATAATGTAGTAGATTTAGTTCAAATAACCCATGTCTTATAGAGCTTATAGATATACGTAGCTTTCATTTAAATTAAAAATTCATGTGGACATTCAAAAGAATTTGCACTTCTGTCTCCACAAGAACATTCTTGCATGATGCAATATAATTAGGCTATTATTATGCAGCTTTTGTTTCCCGAGAGTTTGAATTTGAGTTGGGTAAAATTTTGTTCCCTTGTTCTGTCCAATGTAATTTCTACTCCATTCCTTTTAAACTATGCAGAATCGAGTGCAAAAGTTCCTTTCCCAATCAACAATTTAGCTTTCATTCAAAGTATTGCGTCTTCTATTCCAGTAGCAGTAGTACTTCAGTAAGATTACTCCAAGTTCAAAAATTAGAAACAATCTAAATTAACACCCTTTTTTATGATTAAGTTTTATATTGTAGTTTTTTTTTATTATTATTACCATATAAAGTATTAACTTATAACAACAGCTTTTCTTTGATTTTATAACTGATATTGGATGAAACTCTTGGCTGCATTGCTAGTTATGATTGGACACTTACAGGAATGTATGTATCTGAAGCTCAGATCATTTCAGAATTGTATGGGCTCTTTTTTTTACTACTATCATAAACTTGCTGTTCAAAGAAGACATTAAAAAAATTTTCTGTTTAAATATCTGTTGGTATTTTACAGCATTCCTTCTTTAATATGATGAACAATCTGAGTTGGCTGTTAGGTTATTTGATGTTACTCAAAACTAGTGTTCCAACTCATCTTGAATATGCTCACATAATTCAAGAGTGGGGTTTTGCATAGCCAGTGAAGTTCATTCATCGTCATTCTCATAGAGTTAGCAATAGCTATACTTTTGAATAGACACATTATCGTGCTGCAAAAGAAGTAGGACATGTTCTATTTTGTTCCCACAAACAAGATAGAATGCAATTGCCTAGAATTCCTTTGTAGCCCTAGACCTTCAAGGTTCCAGATGAAAAAACTGATGAACAATGACCAAATCAATAAAAACAGGCCTGTATGAGAATTGTTACTGCTCACCAAGGGCCAAGCGGTACAGTCCCTGAATACTGGTAGTTCTGTCCGAGGTTTGAATTCTGCATATGGGCTGGCTGCATGGGTGTTTTTGTGTTTTCCCCATGTGCAGCATGTTAATATGAGCCAGTTTTCCTTAGAAGGTCCTCCACAAAGGCATCCCTCCTTTCCATGTAGTGCTTAAGGGCAGAACATATGCAAATAATAATAAATATGAGAATTCTTTCTCTACCCAAATTTCACAGTGAAGACACCACAATCTGGCAAATAATGTTCCACTTGTATTCAGCTTGTGCACAGTTGTGCATCAGATCTGCTTAAAATGTAATGTGATCTATTAATTCACAATGTGTTGTTTTATTGTTCAGGTATCTATTGATAGTGTGTTTTACATTATTAGAGTTGACAGGACTACTACAGATAATATTCTCTGTTGTGTTCATCAGTTTTATATGCTGCAGCTTGCACTTGGAATCTAAGTGCAAAAATGACATCACTTCTAGATGCTAGTTGAATGTCTGCAATGATGGTTTGTAAACAGGGCTGTTAGTTTCACTTCATCATACATTGGAGGCTTCAGTGATTTAGATCAAGTCAATTGTTTTGGCTTTTTAGGTAAGATTGGAGTTTTATGACTTCACTGTGTTTTCATTTCACTATTTCATCACATATGTTTTTGCATATAGTACATGGAACTTTAGAAACAGAAAATCTTGTGGACTGAATGATCAAATTGCAGATGGACACCAATAATTATGCTAAGATTGAGCTTCATTCGACTCACAGTGTGTTTTCATTTCAATCGCAGTAATTTCTGTACACATTTTATTTTGAGCTCTCAGCCTTTTTATTGGATCAGAATATGTATTGACGAGTTACATATATTAATACTTATGTACTCAGAATGTCTGGTCATAAAGGGTCATATAGAGCATGAGTAATATTTGTGTAAGTCTGTAAGCAATTCTATAAATTATATTATTTGTGCCTTAACCTGTTGTCAGCACCATTTACAGGTTACTGTGCTTAAACTGTGATAAATGGTATGGGGAGTAGACCCAGGGAAACTAAATAGGTATACTGAGCTTTTTTGAGAAAAGATATTTTCAATACCTTCCAGCTGGGGGTAAAACCTCCATATTGAAAGGATTCTCCACAAAATGGTTGTGGGAAAATTTATTCCCTATGCCACAGCCATCTGGTCTTTTCCAATGAGAAGTAGGAAGCAGAAACATTTATTAATGATTCAGTGTCTCATTGCACATAGTCCATGTAAAAGGTATAGAACAGCAGCCACCAGTGCTGTATCTGTCGTTATGGGTCTGCTGTGATTGCATCAAAGTGTTGAATAGGAAAAAGCATTTTGCAACATCACCTACTGTTGCAAAATGCTGTACTACAGTCTTACTCAATACAAATGACAAGCAAATGCCACCCAGATGCACCCAGGGGAAAAAGGCATTTGAGTGCAAATCACTGCTAACAAAACCAAAAATGCTATCAATCCACAAGGAGCAAATATAATCTTTACTGATGGGCTAAAATCAGATGAAGAAATGTGCAAGCAGACGTGTAGTATGAGGATGGCAGCATAACTCAGACTTAGTAAGGTTACCTCCATGCATACAATAGTGTCTCTTAAGTGAAAGTTTTACAATCAGTATAGCCAACATACATGCAGTGATAGTTAACAGTACCAGTATCATAATATGTACTGATAGCATGTTATTACTTCTGGCTATCAATAATCATAGGCACATCTCACCCCTCATAGCTGAAATACAAATGCTTCTTAATAACCACAGTGATAAAAATATTAAAGTAGTGTATGTAAAAGCACAAAAAGACCATGAAGGCAACAAAACAGTTGATCAGTTTGCCAAAGAAGTGGCAAAAAATATTTACATGAGACAGAAAACAATTCCTGTGCCTCCCCCCCCCTCAGATCTGAAACTTTTTCTACAACATGAAGACCAACATCAGTGGCAACAACACTGGGACACAGAACAATGCACATACTCCCTCATCCCAAAAGTTTCAACCGCAGCATCCCTTGTTTAGCAGTGTAAATGTAATTGCAGTTTCTTAGTCAACTACCGATGACACATTTTTATGAGTCCTGTGGGAAGCATTGTCTTTAGATAGTGGAGTACAAAAAACATAAAGCTGCTTTGCAATGTTTGCCACCAGGTGTCTCTGCTCTCTGTTATTAGCCTACCTGTAATGAATGTAATGTTTTCCTAAATATGAAAATGGAGACTAGAGGAAAGTATAAAAGCCATATTTTGTGATCTTTTATAAAATCGACTATTTTTCATTTATAATTGCTAAAACGTGAATATTTGTGTCATTTAAAACATGTTTGTGTCTGAAAGTATGTCTGCAACCAATGGTTTTGAAAATAAAAACTGGGTAAGGACCTTTGAGTACACAGTTTATAATCCCTGTCTGAATCAATAATATTCTTTCAATGCTGTACTAGGTTTTTCTATACCATTCCTTAAGAAATCCGTTGGCTTATTGGAGGAAAAGTCTTGAAAGTCTGTTTCTAATGCTTAATTATATTCATTTTCATCAATGAAATTTTTGCAAGCTGCAAGCAAAAATCATAGAATGATTAAAAAAAAAAAAGTTTTTTTTAAATGTGAATGAAGAGCAGTGCAGATGTTCGCACATTCTTTTCAATTAGCCCCAATGCATGTGCAACTCATTTGTCAAGCTTAGACAGGATTCCAAGTTCCTTTAAATGACGATGGATAGTTGATGACAATTAATTATCCTCTACTCAACTTTTCAGCAGCATTTCTTTCAATTGCAGCTTTTAACACATGATTATAAAAATGAGTATAAAGAAGATAAAAAGGATGTCCACAATGGCTTACGTCTTTTAAATGAAAATCACCTTGTTCATATTTACAGAAGGATTTTGGGCACTTGCAGATATTCAAAAAAATACCTTTACCATACATTTTGTGTAATAATTTCTTGCCCTTCTGTCATTTTTATACTCATACAGGTATAGGATGAAACAAAGCCAGTACCTGTGCATACAGATAAGGATATTAAGTGTTGCCAAGCCTTGCTAACTGTTAAGCTCCCACCCCAAATGAAATTCCAAGGAATAACACCTCAAGGTGCTGTGTGAGTGTCTCCGACCTCTTTTCCCTTAACACCCACCTCATATTTTGAGTGGCCCCTTGCTGAACAGGCACTGTATGTTTATTAACGTCCATGCTTTTTATGGGGTTTGAACCTGGGTCCTTTGGTATGGCCATCAGAGTCTCTAAACACTATCTGGTTCGCTTTATACTCTTGCAGCGTGACATGTTTGAGGTATTCTTTTAGAACTACCATTTTTTGTGAGAGGCTGTTAAAGCAACAAATTAGTACTCATGTGCTTTGCAAGAAATTATCTGTAAAAAGCTGTCTTTATTCAGTATTATTCTGTTACATCTGCGAAATGTGTTAGAAAACAAGTTCTCTCTGAAAATCGACTTTACTTATAAGATGGCTTAATATTTGAGGTTTTTTTTTTTTTTTTTTTTTGTTAGAATGGAAGTATAAATTCTTATTTAGATTTTGTTAGTGTGCAATTATATCAAATTTTAATTCAAGCAGAAAGGATGACGAATTTTTATATATATTAAAAAAACTTTGCCTAAATAAAGCCTTTTGTTCTTATGTAAAAGATAACTTCAATAATTCTCTACTATAACAAGCTCCAAAATTTCTTACTTATAAACTAAAAATGAAAGAAAAATGCATGGCGTTTGGAGAATAGTATGATACCCAATCATAAAAAGCACGCTTTCCAGCATCCAACAATAAAATCTGTTTCAGAGCAGGGTCTTATGCCTGTGGTTAATCTTCTGTCAATAAATCTTGATATTTGGCTTTGTAGTAATTGCTGGCCCCTACAGTTATACTTGCATTCTTCATGACTGTGATTTCCAGAGAGTATTGCAGCAACCCGAAGAACTATCATGAATTTTTCTGGAAGGATGTGAGCTTTTAATTTTTTGTTTTGTTTAATTTTCTTCATCTCCCCCAATGGCTGGATGGAAATGGCTTCCTTTTTGTTTCAACTGCAAAAGAATTAAAACAAATAGATGTCTACGTTGCTCTTTTTTTTTTTTTTTTTTTTTTTTTTTTTGGTGGTAGAGGGTAATCCTTTTCCTGCGGGGAAAGTTCTTAGGGGCTACATTTGTTTGTCACTTTAATTTTTACTACATTTTGCATCATGTATTTATTAAATTTGCAAAGAAATGTAGTAGAAGCAATCAATCATTTTTAGGTGTGGGGCATTTTGGCAAAAAAAATCACAAGTGCTCCAGTTGACAGACAGTGAAACTGTACATGACAGAGAATGTCTGATTGAAATATAATGGTAACAACTGCCAGCAAAGTGTTAGCATCAAAACTAGAAATCCGTTCAAGAGTCAGCAGAGTTCATATAGTGGTAAAAAAACAAGCTATGGAAAGTAACAACTTATTTCGTGCGATTTTGAGTGTGATTGCTGCCAGAATAATACCTGCCAGAAATAAAAAGCCTTATTTAATCAAGCTGTGAATATTAAAAATATATTTCGTTACCAAAAAAATAGTTTATTATCAGTATGTTGTATAATAAATACCCTTGTACATAATTTTTCTTGAATTCTATCTGTATGAACGCAAAAATTATTTTTCCATTTTTTCTGACTATATTCAGCACCAAATGAGTTTACTTGTTTCTTCTGATTAAATGGATTGGAGCTTTTTTTTTCTTTTAATTTTTAGGAGCATATTAGCTCTTTTAAAAGTGCTCCTGTTGACAGTTTAACATGGAGACTTGCATTAGCTATGTGTCAAGTTAATCATAGCTATGGTGGCTTACCAGCTGTAGCACAACTGTGGCAGGACTTTCTTTTAGAAATGCGTCATCGCTGGGAAAACAACTACACCCTTCCGTGGTATGTGTGATTTTTCTCTATTATATATATATTTTTTCTGTATAGTAATACGTTTTCTGACAAGGTTTTTTAAACTTGTTATAATCACAGTAGTAACAGGAATCTGTAAATTAACTTTCAAATACGAATTTTTGTATTGTTTTATCTAATTATTAATTGCAGGTTTTAATGTATCTAAATGTAATTGAAAAATTAAGCTCTTGTAATTAAATTTAATATTCACAATTTAAAAACAGGAATTTAAGATCAATGTTATTGGTCTATATAAGGGGTTCCCAACATTTTTGTCCCTAAGAGCACATTCTAGAATATCTGTTGGACGGCAGACACCATTTACTTTTTCGAGGTGAATTTATAGTTGGATAGAGTTAATATACATGCAGATAAAAAAAAAAGACATTGGTCGCAATTCACTTTGTGCTGGTATTTGTGTTGGATGCAATTTCTATTTCATTAAAAATGAGAAAACTTTTACATAGAATTTTATTGAAAACTAAAATATTTTTATTGTGATCACATAGTGGCGGGCTTATGTTAGACGATCGGCAGGCGCCACAGTGTCCACGGGCATAGGTTTGGAAACCCCTGATATAGATATATGCAAACATCGACTGGGTAAACATCTATTGCAAAGCTAATTTATAGAGTAGCTCATATGCTAATGGTCATAACAGAGCTTGATTAACTATCAAGCAAAAAAAAAGCATATGCTTAGAGCATCAACAGAAAGTGAACCACAAAAAGGTACGTAGGGACCCAGGAAAGGGGGGCACTACGAAAATTTCCCAAAGCCAGTTTTACCATAAAATGAATTTAAAAAAAAAACCCGAAAGAGAAGAAAAATGGGGGGGGGATGGCATAAATGCATGTGATAGCGCCAAAATCTTCTAAGTGCTTAGGTCCTCCTAAATGTTTCAATCCAGTCTTGGTTCATTAGTTTCTTAAGCTGGAGTTTTACCAATGCAAGGAATACTTCCTTATTATTAAGGCACAATTATTTAAGCATTTAAGTGTTATTATTATATTAATGTAAAATATATTGTTTTATTATTATTTTTTTTTGATTTAATAGATAAGTGATTCCAATAGGAATAACTTTAATTCACTTTCAGCAGCATATTATAAAAAATAATGAATAGACAGTAAATGTACGAGGGTTGGAACTTTAGTAGTGGCAACTATTTATTTACAAGGAATACAAAAGTGATTCATGTCACCATGTTTTACAGTCCTTCAATATAGTCGCCAGCATTGTGTGAAACCCGTTTCCAACGATGTGGAAGTCGCAGAATATCTGTAGCAGCGCCTGTTTTGTTGATAGTTTGAATGGACCGGTCTACTGCCGCAAGAATCTCAGGAACAGTTTGGAAGCGAGTGCCACGAAGTGGTTCTTTCATCTTAGGAATTAAGTCATAGTCACGAGCGCTTAGATCTGGGGAGTATAGTGGATGGTAAAGCACTTACCAGCCCCATCGCTTGAACAAATCAGTCACAGCTTGCGCTGCATGCGGCCGAGCATCGTCATGCAAAATGCGAGGACCGTTCTGCAGAAAGTGTCGCCGTTTTTTTTCTCAAAGCTGGTCGGAGATTTTGCTCTCGCGCTCATAGCGCTCCAGGTGGGTTCGGGCAGCATCGTATCGTAGCCATTTCTGCATTTCCCGTCAATTGATGTGGAACCCATCGTGAAGCAATTTTTCTCATGGACAGGCGTTCCTTCAGAATGTACAGCACAGTCGTATGCGCTAATCCTGTTTGTCCGGCCAGCTGACGAATCGTTTGACGGCGATCACTGTCCATTAGTGCGGCAACAGCTTGCTCGTCTGCATCGCTGACACTCGGACGACCTGGCCGCAGCATGTCTGCCACATTTTGGTGTCCTTCATTGAATGCTTTCAGCCATCTTGCTACGGTTTTGTAAGGCAATGCAGATTCTCCGCAAGCCTCTTGAAGCCCTTGATGACACTGTCGTGCTGTACGACCTCTGGCACATTCAATATTTATCCAACATCGTTGTTCTTGTTTTGAAAACATCCTGACAACACTTACTTTAGACCGCGAGCTAATACAAGGATTCGTTCTTCGTGTCATTCCGCATGCGCGTGACGTAGGCAGGAGGAGTCTTTTTGCTGAGAGGTAAGGTAGGTATGTAGTTTACGTGTGGTATACGCGATAGTCTTTGGTTTTGTTGCGTAGCGTTTTTTCAGCTGTGTTGCCACTATTAAAGTTCCAACCCTCGTATATAGCATTACAGTATAAAGTCTGATATCCGGAAGTGTCGGGACTAAGGCGATTCCGGATTTTAAATTATCAGTTTAAATCTAGTAAGATTACATGTAAAAATTATGAAATTGAAAATATGAAAAGGTTGTTCCTGAAATAATGAATCATTTATGATTTTAAAGGAATCATAATTGACCCCCCCCCAAACAAAAGTCAGCAAGCTTCAATATGTATTTATTTGTTTTATTAAACATTTCTTTTAACGTTTGTTGCTTATGCTTTTTTTTTTTTTTTTTTTTTTTTTTTTTTTAGCAGACATAATTTCTTATTCGGTTAGAAAGCCCCATTGTTCAAGGTTCTGTAATCGCGGTGTCGAAAATTCTCACTAAACTGTCATTCGAAATCTTTTCATCCCCAAAAATTACTTTGTCACAAACGGTTGCGATATTTTCTGGGTTTACAACTATACTTTACGTTTCGCCGTCCGCTAGTTGATTCGGGTATTGTCATCGTAATGAAAAACTTCGGCTGGAAACATTTCATTTATTATCATTTCTTCACAAATTGAATTAACTGGAAAATTTTACCATCCATAGCATTGAAAAATCTACTTAAAAATAAGGGTGCTATTTTCCTAACTGCAGAGTCATAGCTAGAGTTTTCAGCGCCCAGGGACAACTGAAGATTTCGTGCCCGTACTGTTTGCCAAGGATGGAAAACATTTAATTCTAAAATTTCGTAATATCAATTTGGCGCCCATTGGATGCTGCGCCCGGGGACAGATGTCCCCCTTGCCCCCCTCTAGCTACGCCCTTGCCTAACTGTGAAGTCGCTTTTTCGTAAGCCCGAATTGCACCAGTGCCGTTTTTTTTGCGCAAAGGTCACAGTAGGAGACAAGTACCAAATGTTTGCTTTCGCTTTCACGCTACAGCTCCAGAATTAAACAAGACAACATTTCGAACGTGAAGTGAGTCCCAGAGAACCCAATATTGTTTTGTTGTAGGACTACAGGTCGAAATGTCATGCCAGTTAAGTTTCCTATTTGAACACTCAATTAAGACATTAATGGGTTTAATGTTACCGTCTTCCAGCTAGTCTTTTTGAACTCTTCGTCAATCAGTGGTTCTCGATCAGCCGATGTTGGAAGTTGTAACTTAACGGGCGACCGGATTAACCAAGTCGTATTTCCCTTCGACCCTATAATTATATCGGCAGCTTTTTGGGCAGGGTCTCCCTCGCTGTTTAAAAGACTCTAGCATCGGCTTTTCTGTGTGATGATCCTTTCCGATGACGTATGGAGATTTCTTATTCCAGAGTTTCTGTAACCATCTAGCTATTTGGCCTTCGTGATTCTTGAAATTTAAGAGCAAAGTCAACCATGCATGATCTCTGCCGAGCAGGAATTGATTACGCAATAATTTATCTCCGGTTTAGATAGACTCTTGCTCCGGTATCTTACGATACGTTCTTAACCGTTTATTTCTTGGGACAAATCAGCACCGATACTTATTTCTCGCATCCGTGTAAGAATAAATGCTTTCTCGAGCTGAGGAGACTTTAGGATGGTAGCAGATGTTAAAGCTTCTTTCAATTTGTTAAATGCATCCTGACATTCTTTTGTTTACAAGAACTTTTGCTTGCTGTCTGTCAGTTTGTGCAGGGACTTGCGATAGAAGAAAAGTCGTTCACACAATCCTCTATAGTAGGTGCAAAGCCCCAGGAAATTCTCAGCTCATGGACATTTTCGGGAAGTCTCTTTTCTGTAATTGCGGGCACTTTTTCTGGATACGTACACGCACCTTCGGCAGAGATGACATGTCGGAGGTAAACCACTTCCTGTCTGAACAATTTACATTTGACAGGACTTAACTTTAGATTGGCTTCCTTCAATATCTGAAGCATCGTCGTAATATTTTCTAAATGCTGTTCAAATATTTTCTTGACGATGATAATGTGATTCAGGTATTTGAGACCTCGCAACGCGGTCTCTGTGAGTAGTTCAAATTTTGCTGGCTCGTTACATAATCCAGACGTCATCAGCTTGAACTTCCGTGTCTTGTTCCTTGTTCGGTAGTAAATGCCGTTTTTTCTCGGTCATCAGGGTGTGTCTCTATTTACCAATATCTGCTCTTTAAATTCAAGTGTCGAAAGAATGTCCAGAATATCGCCAATTCTAGAAAGTGGGCAGCTGCTTTCTTCGTAACATCGTTCAACCAGCTATAGTCAATGCAAAATCTCGTCAAGCCAGGACGATATGAGAGGCCCACCCCTTGCTGAAGGCTTGATAATTTCGCTTTCTTGCATGTCCTTTAGAAGTTTTCTTATCTCTTCCTGTTTAGTAATCAGTAGACGTCTTGAATGTTTCTTGATTGGCGTATGATCCCTTGTATCAATTCTGTGCTATTTGCCAAACTTGTTCGACCTACGTCAGTATATGAGCGGGAGAAAATGTCATGAAATTGTTAAATGATATATTTTGCAGCACTCCCCATTTCATCGCTTAATTGTGCATTCTTCAATAACTCCTATATTAGGCTCTCCGAAGACACGAAGATCGGCGGACTACTCGTTCGTTTAACGCAACTCACTGGAGTACGTGCTGTAAGCAATTCACCTTTTCTAATGACTTCAGCCTTATCGTTTACGTTGACAACTCTCACCGGGTTGATGTTTCTCGATAGATCGATGAGCGCCGAGGTTATTACTCTTTTCGAGCTGTTACAGTTCTTAGGGTATTCCATTATGCCATACTGGAAATTTCTATTTTAAGCTATGGATGC